ACAGGGAGGAGGGACCCTGGAGGTGGTGAGGATGGCACAGGGAGGAGGGACCCTGGAGGAGTTGGGGATGGTACAGGGAGGAGGGACCCTGGAGGAGTTGGGGATGGCACAGGGAGGCAGCACTTCGATCTGTTGTGCACAGAGTCACCATCAGTCATACTCAACAGCAGCGTTTCACATCTGAGTAAACGGAGGTCCCCCACGCCTGTCTCCTGTCTGATTTCCTTTATAGCAGCTGCTACGTCCGGCATTCTCTCACTTATCCTCTCCAGAAAAAAAAATTCCTGTTCAGCAAGAACGTCGCCTCATTCCCTCAGCACCCAGAACGGGGTGGGTATGGAGCAGGCACTCAACAGAGTTTAATATTTAAAGTAAAATTCATTTTACTTGACTGGGTTCCCTAAGGGGAAAATGGGAAGAAAAATTCTAGTCTTAGATTTCTTCATCTACTGAATTTAAGTGTATTAGTAAAAATCATTAACACGACATTTTCACCACTAACATTTTACGCTTGGGGCACAGCAGAGAGCAGTGCAGGTGACCCCCCCATACTTCACAGCTTATCTTTGCAGCCTGACAGCAGCACCTCATTTCCTGAGAGGAAGAGAGTCACCACTCCCACTTTACAAGGGAGCTCTAGTGGCCTAGGGGGTAAGGGGTTGTGCTGTCAACCCCAAGGCAGGCAGTTCGAATCCAGCAGCTACTCCTCAAGAGGAAGATGATCTCTTTGAAAACCCACTGGAGGGTCAGCTGGGAGCTGGTTCGGACTCAACACCCATGAACAGCAATGTCCTCTCCAAGGGGACGGCCGCTAGCCAGAGGCGGGGAAGTTCGCGTAGCACGCCTGGACGTGCAGCGTGTGTGACCGGAGGCAGAAGGGAGCATGTGTGAAGTTTACTTCCCACTCAATTAATGCCTGTCGTTCTAAATCAAGTGTTCAATTTTCTTTGTTGTTGGCGAAACAAAACCTGAAAATCAAAGATCTGAGTTCAAGGACTGAGTCATCCACTTGAACAAGTTCTGTAAACCGTAGCTTACATTATCATTTATTATCCAAAATATAAGCACATGGAGAACGAAGGCGGGTGTGGCTGACAACCACAGGGGTAAAAAGGAGATTCGAACCACCGCACTCTCACAGCCATCACGTCACAACTGACTCGCCGCTGGTCCTCAGGGAGCTTGTGGAGGCTGTAAACCACACGGGAGTGGACTGCCCATCTTTCTCCCACAGAGCAGCTGGTGGAACTGAACTGTGTTCTCTGGGTTGGCAGTGCCAACTCCTGACACACAAGGCCACCAGTGCATCCCAGGCAACACAGAGGCAGGGCCTTTCCTGTCTACGCCTCATCCCTGAGCAGGGGAGTGTCCCTCTGCCTCCCTCATCTGTGAGAGTCCTCCACCGTCTGGAGGACAATCAATGCTTCTTAAACAGCAAGGGCAAGGCCCACAGAACAACTTGAAGAACAGTCGTTTCTGCCAGTCATTATGGGCACAAGGTCTGTCTCTAGTGGTCACAGTCCCATGAGAACCAAGGGCGGGCACTGAGCCCAGCACCTGCTAGTTCCTAGTGAACACACAGGATCCAGCAATTTTAAAATGCTTTTATTGCGCAGCTGCCACCAGGTGGGGATGGAACGCACCTTGCTCCCTACAGAGGGTCCGGCCTCCGGAGGGCAGAGCATGGAGTGACCGGCAGGAAACACTCGCCTCTCTGCACAGCCCCTAGTGAATTACAGCACGTCTGCCTTACATTCCTGACATCTGGGAGGCCACCACACTGGCTATTCTCTGCTCCTGCAGCCCTCAAATGCCTCTCTCTGCAGAGGTCACTTTCCTGCACCAGAAGGACCTCACACAATGGTCACGCATTCAGCAAGCGTTCCAGAGGAGACACAAGGCCCAGTACTGAAAGGACACGGCTGGACGAGTGAGCCCTCGCTCGTGCTTACTCAGGAGGGACAGCGGGGTCCTCGGTCAGAGAATGAGATCACTGAGTTGGAGACCACCCCTCCCCCGCAGGTTCCAGCTGAAGTTCGCTCTGATAAAATGCAGACAGCATCGTTCTTTCAGGCCACCTCACAGACTTGAACTGAAGAGAAAATGGGAGGGTTTTCTAAAGGGCATTTCCTATCAAACAGAATTTCAAATTCCAGGGCTATTTCTACAGACAGCACAAAGGGCTAGGTGAACCTCTGAAACCACCACCCTGAGATAATCCTTAAACCTGAAATAAGAAATATTTCCTGGCTCCTCTTGAAACCAAACAACACTTTAGCTCAACCAGTCAAGACCCTCTGCCTTGAGCACTGAGCCTTTCTAAGATCTATTCAGAAGGGACCAAACGGACAATAGCTCAAAGGCAGACAGACAGCAAACCTGAGGCCAGGGCTTTCCGAAGAACGAGAGAGGAGTGTCCTGGAAAGGGCGTGAGAAGGGATTCAGACCTGGAGGAGGAGAGCCCACCGGGGAACCCACCGGGCGCTGTGTGCAGGAGAGCCGGCACCGGGGCACTCTGCAGGACGCTCACCCGGGACATTCTGTTGTGTGTATCCTCAACAACAGAATAAATAAATGGGCTTCGGGTTTTTGTAAACTTGCTCTGCAGGAAGCAGGGCAACTGGGTACAGTCTGACAGACGGAGATGCTCTTCTCTGCCAGAAGGCCAGGCCCTGCTCCGCGGTCAGGAGAGGGGTAGCCTCTGCAGGGCTGGCGACAATCGTGGGGACTGTACCAGTTACTACGTTGCTCCCTCAGTCCCCCTCGGCCTGATTCTATTTAGGAGAAGCAGAGGTTCCAACATAAACATCAGGACCGGAATTCTAACCCTATAATGTTCTAACTTCCAGGAATGAAAATGCTCAACTTTAGTGCTTACATTGACCTTCTCGGGAGTCAACTAAATTTGGTTCTAAATAAACTCCCAGAAGTCCTAGTACTTTTGCACAGGAAAGTTAAGAATTGAATACTTGAGCTCAGGAATTGGCAAACTGCAGCCGCCATGCTCAAACCTTGTGTTCTGGGGAATCAGTCCTTATTTGCACACGGACACACTGATTTGCTCACAAACTGCCTGCATTCGCTTGATAAAGGCGGGCTCTGGAGGCACCAACAAGGCCCGCACTGCCCACGGAGCCCGCAATACCTGCTCTGTGGTCTTGAGAGGGTCGGCCCTCCCCTGCTCCACTCCAACCGGCCCCTACGGAAGCCGGAGACGGAGTCATCCAAGACTAGCAGGGAACACAGCCTTGTCTTAATAACCGGCAAGGCTTTAACTCATAAACTGAAATCCTAACAAGCTTCATATTTATAGAAGCAACATTTTTGTGTGTTGGACAAGCAAACAAAAGAGTATTTTCACATTTGTCATCAATGGGAAAAGGGTCTTTTCCCACACTCCCATAAAACCACGGTGCTCAACTAATTTTATTCAGACTTCTCAAATAAACACTTACTGGAAGCTGAGTCAACAAACATACCGCCCCCAGTCCCAAAAGCCATTTCTGAGAGCGGGGTTAGCTTGACATGTGGGACCTACAACACTATGCCTTCCCAAGCAGTACGCCTTTCTGTTCCATGATGTCATACTGTCCTGACGCCGGATCATAAGTGCTGACGATGTCGCAGAAACCTAGAACAAGCCTTCAATAAAATATAGGTTTTCTAACTGTTAAACATTTACAGCACGAAGCTGAATATATCCTGCTGCTGTTGTTTCTGCCATCAAGTCGGGCACAATCCTACGAACAACAAACCGATCTGAATCTTGCCTTAACCTGCTCCAGCCTCACCTTCTGACCCAACGAGCCCACTGCTGCAGTCACCATGTCAGTCCATCCTGCTGAGTCTTCCTCTCTTTCGCTGACCTCCCGCCTTTCCAATCATGTTATCCATTTCCAAGGACTAGCCTCTCCTAGCAACATGTCCAAAGCAAGATGTGAGACAAAGTTTTTGCTTCCAAGTAGCACTCCAGCTGCACTTTCTTCAAGACATATCTGTTATTTTGGCCGGCCATGGGATAGTCAGTGCTCTTCTCCAGCACCGCAGCTCAAAGGCATCAATTCCTTTGTGTCATTCTTATTCACTGTCTAGGTCTCAGATGCATAGCAAAGGATTAAAAACACTATGGCCTGAATTAGGCGCACCTTAGTCTTCAAACTGACATCACTGCTCCTCAGTACTTTGGAGAGGCCCTTGGCAGCAGACTTTTCCAATACTTTCTGATTTCTTGACTGCCGGTACCAAGGGTATTGATTGTGGATACGAGCAAGAGGAGGTTAAGGACAGCATCAATCTTTTCATGTATCACGATGTTGCCTAACAGTTCAGTGATGAGAATTTTTGTTTTCTTGATGCTGCAATGTAATCCAGGGTAATTATTATGCAGGTTATTGATGAGTCTTCCTCCTATCCTGATGCCACCCTCCTCTTGATAGAGTCCAGCTTCCTGAATGACTTGGTCAGTGGACAGACTGTGTAGGTATGGAGAGGGGGTGTATCCCAACGCACAACTTTCTTCATCTTAAGCCCTGCAGGGTCCTCTCACCCTGTCTGCACAACAGCCTCTCGGTCCAGGTCTAGATTCTACATACACACGTCACTCTGTGGCAGTGCCGCTCCTCTGTCAGCCACAGGTAGGGTGTGTTTTCTGGACTATGCAAAAGCATCTGACTAGTACATTCTAGTACATGAGCTAAAACATTCAATTCACGTTTTTAAGTGAAAATGGGGTTCCTCGCTGCAATGAACGGTGAGGCTCTTTCCAGAGCACGGTGGGGAAGTCAACGCTGGGCAGGGGCCTTCGGAGCTCAGCACTGATCCTCACCCCCCACAGAGATCTCTCCCTCACTGTCCCAAGTGAGGCTGAGAGAGACGGGGTGTTCAAAACAAACACCAAAACCAGCCCATTGCTCCACATGACATAACCCTATGCATTGCCGTGAGGATGGACATCGCTGGGAGAGGATGGCATCCTGGCTGCCAACACTGACCCTTCATCAAGGATGAGGCCACTGAACACTGGGGAGAGCCACACATTACTAACACAGGCAGGGCCCCTAAATTGTTCATGTGGAAAACGGTGCACTGGAAAATACGAACAAAACAGTCCAGTCATTCCAGGTTTAAATGGGGAAAAATACACCTCTCTGTCATCTTTTCAAATCCCTGGTCACCTGTCCGATTCTGAACTCTCCCAAACCTTTCCTGGCTGGCCCTGACAGGAAGCAGAGTCCTCGTGCGGTGAACACGTGAACACCTACAGTGAACACTGCTCTGTGTGTGTGTGCCCGGACTAGATGTGAGTGTGTGCACAGGACAGAGGATCTGCCCACGCCCTGGCATGCTCACCTCCCAGCGAGCGACATTTGCAGTTCTCTCCATGTGATCAGTCTTCTTATGAGACTTCATGACTCTTTAAGGGAAAGTAAAATCAGAATAAGTATTATCTTCACAAAAATAACACAGATTCTCCCCTCCCTCCTTTAACAGCTACCCACAATACAACAGTAGGTGATGGGCCTCAGACAAGGACAGTGGAAAAGGTGCAGATCTGAAGCTCAGCCATCCACTGACGCTTTAAGCCACAAACACACCACCTTCAGGAGTCTGAAACGCCTCCCAGAACCACCAGCAAGTCAGGCCCCTCTGACCACCAACCTGAGGTGACCCTGGGGGCCGCTCACTCACCTGGGGAGGGTCAGGTGGCGCAGGGCGCTCAATCTCCAGGAGGGGACCTGGGAGCAGATGGTGCCAGCGCAGCCTCGAAACACCCCAGGAATCATGTCCACAGCGCCAGCCACAGAGCGTCCTGCAAACGGGAGACCAAGGCTTGCAGTCACTTCAGGGAGAGCGGCCAGCAGACCAGATTCTGGACTTCTGCTGCTGTCGCCGCTGCTGCTGAAGAGGCGTCAACTCACCAGCCCACCAGGCACCAGCCCAACAACGCCCTGACGCAGCTTCAGAGCCGATTCCGCTCAGGGTCCAGCACAGAAGCTCTCCATGCTGGCCGAGAGTCACATTTCTAGTAAGTTCTAAAATCTCTGGCCAAGTCCATATGGCAAATCTTGGGCAGAGGAGAGTAGTTTTTTCCACTAATAACTGTATTTTGCCCCAAACCAAAGAGGCCACTAGCAACGGGTCAATCCCAGCTCACAGCACGTGGGGCACAGGAAGACTGTCCCTCAGGGCCCCCGAGGGGGACTGTCCCTCGGGGCTCCCAAAGGGGACTGTCCCTCGGGGCTCCAGAGGGGGACTGTCAGGGCTCCCAAGATGACCCCTCCAAGGCTGCTGGCTGCTACAGCTTCTCCCCATGGGGCGGTGAGTGAGTGTCAACTGTCACCAGCAGTCGCCAGCTGACAATTTTCACCACTGTGGCACCAGGACCTCATCTCATCCAAAGAACATGACAAAACGCTTTCATAGTCTTGTTAGACAAATACAAGGGCAGGCATGTTTCCTGATGTGAAAACACACAGACAGCAGACATTTGTAACAGCGTGAAGTGCAAACTGCTCAAACAGCCGTAACAGAGTAGGTGTCACGCTGTGACAGGGTCCCCACCGTCCACACTGCACGGCCAGGAGAGGGAGCAAACCCAGCGGTACAGGATGGCCTGGATGGATCCCACAAACGCCACACAGAATCAAAAACACACAACCTGAAAGGACACACATTCTGTAACTCCATTCATGGTATGTTCAAAACCTCGTAAACAAACCCATCATGTGAGAAATCAAGTCAGCGATGACAACACTGAGGCCAGATCTGGGAGCTGATCACCTGGACAAAGCCTGCCCGCGGCCCTCCCTGGATGAGTCCTCCCTGGACGAGCCTGCCCTGGGCCAGCCCTCCCTGGATTGGTGACAGCCCTCTCTGGATGGTCCCCAAGATCAGACCCTCTGGCTGTCCCCCCCCATAGATAAGGCTGCCCCTTGGCTGGGACCCCCATGGATGGGCCCCCCCTGGATGAGCCTCTTCTAGATGGGCCCCCCGTAGATGGGTTCCCCCTTGGATGGGCCCTCCCTGGATGGGCTTCCCTGGATCGGTGATCAGCCCTCTCTGGATGGGCCCCCAGTGGACAGCTCCCCCCTCCCAGACTGGATGGCCCACCCTGGATGGGCTCTCCCTGGGTTAGCACATTGTTCTGGTTCTAGCCTAGGCTTCAAATCAAAAGGGACACTGACCACGGAAGGTGCCTCAGCATTCACATTCTAAAGTGGGCCCTCTCACACAAAGAGCACCGACTGGGGATCTGTTGACAGATTGCTAGTTCCTAACATTTTTGTTTTCCTAACAAAATATGTAACAATTCATAACCTTCTTTGTCTAAATGGGCCACTTCTAACATGTTACCCTATCTATACTTTCTAATCTTGATTATCACAAGCTTGAGAATAAACAAAAATATATGTGAACATTTTATATTTTAATTCTGAGCTCTTTTGGAAAAAAGTCACTAGACAAATTAATTTCAGTAAACGTCATGTTTAAAAACCCTTAAAGCTGAGTAAGAACAAATTCCTTCCCAAACACCCCAGGCCAGAAGCCCCTCACTTGTGAATAGGTGCTGACTGACCCTTCAGTGTTCTGTACGTCGGAAACCACTGACCTCACCCCACCTGAGCACACACTCCGTGACGACCACCTGTCCCTGCTGCAGAGAGCCTGAAATCACAGGAAAGGCTGAGACTCCTCCTGCACCAAGGGGAAACTCTGGCGGCTCAGTGGTAAGGGCGCTGCCGAGGCAGTTCAAATCCACCAGCCGCCCCACGGGAGAGAGATGGGCTGTCTATTCCTGTGCGATTTACCGCCCAGAAACCTGCCGCAGGGTCAGCTATGGGTCAGTTCTGATTTGATGGTGCATTACAACAACAACAACAAAAGCTAAGAGCCGTGTATACATCCTGTCACTTACCTACAAGTGCAGGACACACAGGGACAGGTTCATAACCAGGAACTGCTTGTACTGATAAAACCGTTAATTTAGCTGTCATCCACTAACTCACAAACAGTAAGTATCATTATGTGGCAGGCACCGGCCCAGGGACCACAAAGACAGTCTTAAGCAAACCCTCCTACCCTCTGGTGGGTGAAATAGAAAGTAAGAACACGCAAACACATCTTGGATGGTTAACTAACGTAAAAAGTCCACTACCTTGTAATTTAAGTCTCACGAGAGAAGGTCGGCTTCTCATTATCATCGTATGATAAAGCAGCGAGTCGGTGAAAACAACGTGAGCCCTCTTACCTCATGCAAGACTCCTAATGCCGTTTTAATCCTTCAAACGTGCAAATCCCAGAACTGGGGTGCTTCTGAAAGGAAGAAGACGACACTTCATTACGGTCTTGGACCTCAGGGGTCGTTAGTGTCTGCAGGGCAGAATCATTAGTAACTCTGTGGCCTGATACTACGCTGAGACCTTCTGACAAGCAATGGTTGGGGCGTGAACAGGTTTTCTACATGCTGGGGTTCTCACAAAGTTCCTGAAACAGCGGAGACAACACATAAGAGGGAACTACGACACTCAGGTTTCAGCCTGGAACTTATCCATCTTTGGTCCTTTACCAAGGATTTTTCCAGTGCTGAAGCTTGACGGCACAAGAGGGAACTACGCTGGGGGAAGAGAGAAGACAGGACGGCCACATAAGAGACGAGGACCTCCCAGCCAGTGTGGTCACCACCAGTCAGTAAGTGGAGGTCTGGGCGTGGTCAGGTTAACCTTGGGGGCAGGAGAGGGGCAGGGGTGGAACCTCCCCTTCCATGTGGAAGACATAGGGTACCTCCGACCAGTGTGGTCACCACCGGTCAGGGTGTGCAGGGCTGGGCGCTGACATGATGATGTCCACAGGTGTCAGGGACTGAGGCTTCTAGACTAAAACAGACCAGGAAGAAAAGCCTGGCAGTGCTGAGAATCTGTCAGTGGAAGCCCGATGGTGAGGTGGTCCAGTCCACCAGGTGTGGGACAGAGTAGGACAGGGCAGCGAGCTCCCACTGTGCACAGGGACGCCATCAAGGGCCCCATCTATAGCAGCTAAGGCGACATTGTTACGTAGGGAAACACAGCTCTACCCAGCTGACCAGGGCGCTAAACCCGCCTCCGCAACAGGCTATGCGCCCGGGGACAGTGCCGCAGCCTCCTCCACCCGAGAGCCAGCAAACACTAATTGTCCAGATTCTTGTTAAACTCGAAACTCTCACTTGTTCACAAGAACAGTCGTTATCAAGAGTGCCACCTCGTGGCGAATGAGGGCATTTCATCAGACTGTTGCTGAGAATTTTTCCAAAGCTTTTTGCCATTGACCGAGGTATTAAAACATAACAACTGTTTAAAATGCTTAGTGATTTCATGTGTAGAGTTAAGGCACAGACTCAATCTAATGAATCAGACCAAAGCAGATGAACACACGTTGTAGCTGTTCGCCACTGAGTCTGGACGGGTTCACAGCCGTCCCTCGACAGGGCTGCAGAGGCCATGAATCATGTGTGAGGGCACAGACCGTGTTTCTCCCTAAGAGCTGCAGGCGGATTCGAACTGTCAACCTTTGGGTTGGCAGTGCAAGTGCTTACCACAAGGCCACAAGCACTCCCTAGAGAGATGGGAGGGGTAGATAACCATGGTTTGTCGTTTGAGCATGACCATTGTGGACAGATTGGGCGGAGAGTGACAGCAGTGAAGGAGAGAGAGGGTCAAACATGCCTCAGAGAGCAGTAAGACCCGGAGAGGAATCGGGACAATCCTGGCCATGGTCTGCACAAATCCCAGGGGCCCTGAGGCCAGCACTCAGATGCTATCCTGAGGCCCCTGGTTCAAACCCACTAGCTGCCTCACAGATGGGGTGTCTGCTTATGGCCGTGCTCCCACGTTTAACATGTGCAGCTCTGGGGACCCTGTGGGGTGGTTCTGCTCTGTCCTCAGGGTCAATGTGACTGAGAACTGACGAGACAACAGCGGGGCATTTGGCAGGGAATCGTGCTGGGATTCACTCCAAGTGGATCAGTGGGCAGGCAGGTGGAGTCAGAAGGGACTGACCTCACCCTTCAGGTTTTTCTAGCTATAAATCACATGGGAGGTTACTGCCCATCTTCGTCTTGAGAAGAAAACCACACACAACGTTTAATGTGGAACTGGCGGCACTGGGCTTAGCTTTGACTCCATTCTGCTGTACCAGCTTGGATAAGACAGTTCTTACCATTCCAGAATGGAGAAGCTGACACTGATGAGAGGGAAGCATTTTTAAAAATGGCCTGTGGATAGACTGGACGTATGTGAAGAGGGTGACCAGAAACAAGTGCAAACGCTCTAACACCTTCTTCCCCCTGCCAAGGGCCCTGGTAGCAAAGTGGGTCACCTGCTGGGCTGCTAGCCGGAAGGTCAGGAGTTTGTACCCACTGGCCCCTCCCAGGGAGGAAGGTCCCAGAGTCTGCTTGCATAAGACCCACATCCTCAGAAGCCCTGTGGAGGGTCACTGTGGGGTTAAACAGCAATGACTGCAGTGCTCTGGAGCTCCTCAGAGGTCATGATCTGACACACCAATGCACAACTCCCCAGACACGATACACAACAGCACAGGACAGCTCACTGCTGTCGGGTCAGCTGTGACTCACGGGGCTGAGACTCCACGGTGTCCAAGGCAATGAAAGAATCCTCACAGAAGGAAACTGTCCTTCCTTCTCCTTTAGAACACCTAGTGGATTTGAACCTGTAACCTTTCCTCTAACACAACAGCTTAACACAAAAGAAGCCAAGTCACCAGGACTCATTACACAACAACAGTCCTCATCAAAGACAATCTCTAAATGTGCAGCAGTGAATAAATGTAAAATAACACAAGTTCTATTACACCAGTAGGACCTATTCTAAAGTCAATGCTACATGAAGATTTCAATTACTGTCAATTTTCAGATCAGCAATGCAGCATTAACACGGTGTGATTAAAATAAAAACATACACCTGGAACCTCAAATGACCCCGTCCAAACTCAATGCCACAGTGTGGACTGTGAAACACAGTGACATCTGCCCCTCTCCAGGTTTCCAAGGTCACAGAATCAGGATGAGACCGCTCATCCACCCCACGGAGTGCCTGGCGGCTTCCGACCATCAACCTCAGGGCTACACCACCAGGGCTCCTAAATGACCTGTACTGTTGTCGATGCTGTTCTGTGCCATCAGGTCAGAACAAACTCAGAGCTGACCCTCCAGGGGGTTTTCAGAGGCTATAAATCGCATGGGAGATGACTGCCCATCTTTCTCCCGTAAGCATTTGGATTCGAACCCCATGCCCTTGGGTTGGCAGCACAGTTCCTTAGCACTAGTAAATCTGCTTTTATCACACTCTCAGACCGCAAGGATGAGCTGAAGCAGAGTAGAGCACATGAGCACGGTGCAAGGTTGGGCAGGACTCTGCCCTATTGCACAGAGGAGTCGAGGCTATGTAAGGACACTTAATGATGTTTCATTATGAAAGGCTTCCACGCCCTTTGAGAAATAAACACAAGGTGCAGCTGTCAGTTGTAACGTTTCTTTAAAACAGTAGCGAGTGGAGCAAAAAGCTGTTCATGTTTGCTCATGGTTTGCTTTATTCAACACAGGGTAAACTCAAACCAAGCAGAGAGCCATGTGAACCACCACCTCAGGCTGACAAAGGGGGGCTAATAGACAGCAGAGGGGAAGCACTCTGAAAGGACAAGGGACCCCCACTTTAGGGTCCAAAATCTCAGCAGTCTGCAGTGCTACAAGGCTGCTTCTGCTTCAGGGTTAGTTTTGTTGTTGTTTAAATGTTTGCTTTTTAAAACCTAGCTTTGGCTGACATGAATTCATCACAGTGATTGGGGTCAAACAGAATGGATTTCTCAGTCTAGATTCCTGCCATGTAAGAGCTTTGCCTCCTCAGGGAAGTTCCTCAGCCCATAAACCTCAAGTTTATCTCAACGATGATACACTTCAGTAGGCTGTTCTTAAGGGAAGCACTCAGCATACCCTGTCAACTGTTACTAAGTAGCAAACTAGGACCTCACACCTGCCACTCTCCCACACCCACCTCATTTTAAGTAATACTCATAGACAGCTGAGAGATTATAAAGAAACCTATCAATAATCCCCCAAAGCCAATAAAACTATTAACCTCAGATCTCAAGACTTCCCAGGTGAGAGTTTCAAACTGCTTTCTAAATGAAAGTTTCAAACTACTTTCTAAAATCACAATTAATTTATACTTTCCATGAGCTAAATATACACCATCAGTTATTGTCTGGTCAAATACGGCCTATATTTAATGCTCAGAAAGAAGCCCTGGTGGCATCACTGTTTCCTGTTATGCTGCCAGCTGAAAGGTGATCGATCAGTTGGAATCCACCAGTGTGGATCCAGGGAACAAAGATGAGCAGCCATCTCCTGTGAGATTCACACCCAGAAATCCGATGGGGGGTGCTGTGAATTGGAACAGACTCTGCAGCCAAAAACTAAAAACAGTTCTCAAGCTCAGAGGAGCCACTTGGCTTAAATGTTAGGTCATCTGATTCATCTTGGACCAGGGTCAGCATTACTGAGGACACACACCTAGAAAATAAAGGAAGGGGAGGGGGACAGCACAGGAGAGGAAGACCGCAGAAGAGATGAATTGACACAGTAATAGGGGTAGGTGTGTCAGAGACAGTAGACTGGCTCAGGACAGGGCAGGGTTCAGAGCTATTGTGGTACAACCAGAGACATGACAAGGGTGAGGGAGCCACACTGCTCCCTGGAGGCAAAGTTGGCAAAGCTTCGTCTCACATTCTTTGGGCTGTTAGGAGAGGCTATTCTTTGCAGAGGGACATCATGCTTGGAAAGGTCAGCAAAAAAGAGGAAGACCCTCAACTAGGGTAGATTGACACAGAGACTACAGCAATGGGCTTGAGTGTGTTAGAGATGATGAGGACGGCACAGGGTGGGACAGGGTTCAGACCTGTCCTTGACAGGGTCACTCTGCGTTTTACTTGACTGCATCTAATAACAAACAAGGGTAAGGGAGAGGCGTCCTGGTGGCCCAGGTGCTTACACTGCTAAGCGGAAAGGCTGGCGTTTGATCTCAGGAGAAAGGTGGCACCGCCCCTGGGAACCCTGTGTCCTATACACTTGCTTTAGCAAGTCGGAATCGACACACAGCAGGATTAGGGAGAGGCGGCGGGAGTACCTGAAGTCACGTGCCGCCAGGGACTGTGACAAGTCACTCCATGAACTGTCAAGCAATGGAGAGAGAGGCTAAGGCGGAGAGCGAAGCGGCGCTCCCTTCCCGAGGGCCGACCAGGGCCAGGCGGATGGCCCGGAGAGGCCGCGGCCTCCGGCCGGGCGTGCAGGGCCTCGTGAGGTCGAGGAAGCCCGGGGAGAGCGCGCGGCCGTTCCTGGACACCCAGCTGCTCCAGAAACGTGACCACATTCCTCCGGCGGCGGCGCCTACATGACGTAGCAGCCGCGCGCGCCATCGCGACATCCTATTGGTGACCGCCGCCGAGTGGGCGGGGCTGTGAGTGACGTAATCCCGCAGGCCGGGCCCTCCGCCCGGTGTCTCCGCCCCCTAGCCCGCAGTCGCCATGGTGATCGTTACCGGGCACCCAATTGGCCTGAAAGCCCGGATGTGCGTCATTGCCTGTGCGCCGGAAGTAGGCTTCGTGCCGGAAGTGGGAGCGCCGGAGCAGCCGCACTGGGTTAGACGAGGAGACGGAGGAGCGCTGCGTGGGTGTCTGCCATCCTGCTGGCTCAGGGGCAATGGCGGTGTTTCACGACGAGGTGGAGATCGAGGACTTCCAGTATGACGAGGACTCGGAGTCGTACTTCTACCCCTGCCCGTGCGGTGACAACTTCTGTATCACCAAGGTAACCGCGCTGCGCGGGGTCTCCTCCACGGCTTCCCCACGGGGCCCTCCTCGATCCTCCGCCCGCCTGGTGTCCGAGCTCCTTTGCGTGCGGCGCGTGGTCCTGCCTGGAGCCCGGCCGGCGCGGCGGCCCTCCTCCCCTGGCACCGCTCTGTCCGCCGGGGCTTCCCTTTACGGGTGTTTCGGGGGAGCTGTCCCTGATGCACTGGGTTCGAGACGTTTGCAAACGGGGGATCGGAGGGTTCTGGGCGAAGATGGGCCTGGGGAGGGAAGGCTGTGCTGACCCCGCGGTGTCTGATTCTGTTGTAGGAGGATTTGGAGAATGGAGAAGAGGTGGCGACGTGTCCCAGCTGCTCTCTCGTTATAAAAGTGATCTATGACAAAGTAAGGGCTCCGATCACAGGGCGGCAGGGAAGGGTGCGTGGAAGGAAGGTCAGGGACCTGGAACAGCTTCTCGGTGCTGGAGAAAGGTTTTTAAAGGCCTTAGACAAAGGTTTTTAAATAAAAGTTTTAAAAGCAGCAACGCAGTAGAATGTATCAAAGAAAAATCATCCCAACGATGGGATTTGAGAGAGGAGAGGAAATCAGGGGGAATAAAGTGACGGGAAAGGTTAGATGACGAAACAGCGACCCAGAGTAGTTGAATGAAAGAACTTGGTCCAAGATCAGTAGATGATAGCAAAGTTAGAGGGCTTGGGGTCAGAAAGGAAGAATGATGGTGGTGGCTGCAACTTAATCTCTGTCCTCCCCCAGAACCCTGTAAGGGACTTAAACTGGGATAGAAGATCAGACAGTAAACTTCTGGTAGAGATATTACCTAAGACAGCTGTTACCCGTGTTGTGAAATACATAAAGATCTGTTCCTTTTGGTTGAAAATAAATGTTAACTTTGCAGAGCTCAGGTATTTGGCCACATACTGCCAGAAAGGCATTTTTTCATTCAAGGAAAAATTAATACAGAGGCGCAAAAGATGTGATAGGCTTTTTAGGTAAAATGTGGGTTTTGAGAAGTAGGTGCTTGCGGGAAAGATGGGAGGATTTGCTTCTAAGACCAGGTGCTTTGTACTAAATAGGAACCCAGCACTTAAAACAGATGCTGCCCTTTAAGGGTTGCATTTCTGGTGCAGACACTGACTGTGAACAAGGGAGGCACAGTGTGCAGCAGCTAAGGCAGAGCTGTCTGGCCACTGTGACAAAGTTACAGTTTTGTATTCATGCACTCGGGACCTAGAAGCTCGGTGGTTAATGGCTCTCCTCCTGTCTTAGGACCAGTTTATGTGCGGAGAGACAGTCCCAGCCCCTTCAGCCAACACAGAATTAGTTAAATGCTGACGAAGACCCTCGGATTCCAAATCCAGAACACTTGGGAGTGAGCCTTGATGGACAGGTCAACTGCGGCTTCTTCCTGGGGACAGATTTTGTGACTTGCTGTGTCATCAGAGCGGACTCCTGCGTGGACAGCAACCTTCCTCTTCAATAAAGGAGCCGCCGTGACATGAAATGCCTCGTGTTTCACGCTTAACACTTTTGGAAGCCAGTGTTGCTTGTTTTCCACCTGAACTTGAAGGGAAAATGGTGAATTTTAAAGAAACCAGGGCTTGCATTCCCACTGTTTCATCATTTTTGTATCTTTAATTAATATCCGATGACAGCATCACCTACCTCAAGGTCATGAGTATTCCTTGGCAGGGAAGGGATTGGCCTTGGGACTTGGTAACCAAGATTATTAGAATTCACCCTTCGGTGACTTGTGACTTCACCTCTCCTGTTCAGAACTTAAGAATACCTGCTTTTTTGGCAGGACTGCCCTTCCAGTTGCCTTTCCTCTCCCCTAAGCAGCCCTCTCGGCCTTGTCATCATTGAAAGGCCTGCATTCTGTTAAGTGTGCCACCTGTTAGACTTCAGCTGTGCAGTCAGGCCTTGGGATAACCCAGCGGCACCATCATCAGGTCAGTTCCTATTCGGGTGACCCTGTAGAACAGTCAGCTGGCCCCTGGGTTCTCCACGGCTGTGAGTCCGGGAGCCACATCTTCCCCCTTCCTGCAGCTGGTGGGCCCAGAGCCCCCACTCCACGAGCACGAGTCCTAATCAGAAGGAAGTGGAGTGAGCGCCTGTGCTCCCCAGAGGCGGCCCGAGTGGAGTCGTCAGACACTGCAGTCCTGTTGTGGGTGTGGATGACATGTTAGTTCCTTCTGCTCACATGGAGTGTTAACAAGAGGAGATACCCCGAGAGAGAAGCAGTAAGGGCACCCCTTCTGTGGCCCAGGTCCAGAGAAAAGCAGAAACGGCCCCAGAAGTCAGTGTTGGGGCTGCAGACTGGGAATGGCTTTGTCTCCAGGACAGCCGAGTCACTGAAGTGATCAACTGCAGCAGAGCACTCAGGTTCAGGCCTCGGTCTGACAGAGCAGACCCTTTCCCAGGGTGAGCTGGCGGTCTGTCAGAGGGTGCCTGCCTCATTCCCCACGGCCCAGACGCCCTCACCCCCCATGCCGGTCCAGCAGAGTCACCCTGCTTTGTGACCCTCGGCCGGGCCGTGAACCCTCATCTGCACAGTCGGAGACCAAGTTATTTCTGAGCGCTTCTCTCTCGTCAGGCTTTTCACTTGCAGGAACTGAAATGGCAGTTGAAATCTTTACAGATACAGACCACCCACAACATGACTTCCCGTGGAAGACAAGCGTGGTGATTGGGTGCTCACGCTTCAGCGTGACGTGCCACCCTTCACCCTTGTTACGACGTAGGCACACTACCCGTCTGACGGGAGCATGGAGGAGTAAAGTAATATAAACCGACCCGATGTTGCTGTCAAGTCAGGCCGTTCGTTCTGTATGCACCCAAAAGCATTTCCTTTGGACGGTGCCCAGCACTTTTTGGTCACTATTAATTTATTACCAGGACAAAATATTAGCATATTAAAAAAATTCTTTAAATCCATTTGTATGTCATATTTTTGTGCCTAAACACCGTCATTTTAAATTTTAAAATGTTACAATTTTGCATAAGCTACAAATCTTCCTTTGCTTTGGAATGTTTTAGGTAGGTTTCTGGTATAATGAAAGCTTTTAAATTAAAAGGAACTTAGCACCATATGGAATACAGTGGACAACTTGGATTTGGGTTGGGTTTTGCCTTTTTATTTGAAGCAGGAGAAGGCTTTGCGTCTAGCAGCAGTGAAGCGGCAGTCCTGGGCCTCCTTTGGAGGGAACCGGTAACAGCCGGGTTGGCTGTTTGAGTTTGGTCATCAGTCCCGGCTCAGGCCCAAGCACTTTGTGACGACAACTCTTCTCCACTCTGACCTTAATCTTTTTATTTACACTTTGTCCCTTGTGTCCTGACCTGTGAAGTGTAGACGATAACAGTGTCTGTCTCACAGAGCTGTTCTGTGGATTCATTTACTCATCAAATTGGCGGGTGAGTGGCTGTAAAAGGGGCACATCACCCTGGAGTGGGCACAGGGAGGATTGGGGGACAGCGGACTAGGTGGGGTTGCCTTCCATAGTTCATAGGGTGATGAAGAGTTGAAGCTGCCAGATGGCTCCTAGGGAGCTCTCATGGCCTAGTGACAAGAAACTGCGCTGCAATCCCAAAAGCATGTGGTTCGAATCCACCATCTGCTCTGTGAGTAGGATGGGAAGTCTCCTCCCATGCAATTAGCTGCCTCTGATAACCAGCTGGAGGGTCAGCTTTGGGTTGGTTCCAACTCCACGGTACACAACAACAGTGGCTCCTGGTGGTCTAGTGGTAAGAACTGCAATTCCAGGAGCAAGTGGTTCAAATCCACCAGTTGCTCCACAGAAGGATAGGCAGTTTCCTGCCTTTGAAAGTCCGGTGGAGGGTCAGGTGTGGGTTCTCACAGGACAGCACACAACAACAAGCAACAAGCACTTGCCAGGCCCCAGGAGAATGAAGGTGACGGCTGGGTCAGGGCCGAGAAGAACATCAGCGAAGTGATGTGTGACGAACAGGCAAGTGAGGGAGTTACCTCAGTGTGGCACTTGACTGCAGACTGGAGCATGAAAATGAAGAGATCTGTGGAAATATTGCTTAATATTAAATTAGTAAAACACTGCCGTTGAGCAGACTGTGATGGGCAGTGCCCCGATGGGAAAGTGGAGCTGCTGGTGGGGTCTCCATGACCGCGTTGTGGGGGAGCTGGCTGCCTCTCCCCGAGAACTGCTGGTGGAGTCAGACCCTGACCTTCCAGTCAGCAGCTAGCACTTAGCCTCTCACTCCCAGGCTCCTCTGAAAGGATCTGGTAATGGGAACACAGCACAGTGCCTGTCATGTGTGCAAAACGGGGGATAAGTAGGAGAGCAACTCGCCAAGCAGTTCCCTGGACAAACTCGCCTGCCGTCACCAAGCCACGTCTCCACGAGGTCAGGGCTCCACGGGGACCCTCCACATGGTCAGGGCTGCACCGGGTCAGGGCTCCACGGGGACCCTCCACATGGTCAGGGCTGCACGGGGTCAGGGCTCCACAGGGACCCTCCATTGGGTTTCCAAGGCTTCCATCTTTACAGGAAGGAGCCGCCTATCTGTCTCGCACCTTTTGCACAGCACCCAGCTTTAGTCAATTGTTCAACAGCACTGCACAGCCGGGCTCCTGGAATAAACTGAGAAGTGTCAACTCTGAGGTTCCCCCACCCCCAGCTACTCAGTCACACAAGGGTAGGGACTGGCCGCCTGCCCCCAGGGGGTTCTGACAGTGCTATAGCTTGAAGATCCAGGATCTGGGACTGGTTCTCACACCCTGAAAGCATCTGAGGAGCTTCTAAAACAGCTGGTGCTGGATCTTGTCCCCAGAGAGTGATGTCATTGGTGTGGGGAGCAGTTGGGGCGTCAGCATCTTCACAAGTACCCCAGTGAGCCTAATACCTAATTCTAGTCTGTAGCCAAGGCAGAGCCACTGGGCTGGAAAAGCAGGAGGGACGTCATGAGCACAGACTGAAAAAGGAAATGCAATCCAGTCTTACTAATTTTAATGAAAATTTACAGACTTTGGATTTCCATTAATTCATTGTTGCACTTTTCTCCCTGCCCAACCTCCCCCCCAGTTTTGTAAATGTGCACCTGCTTTACACATGTACTAGGCAGGGATGGGCTCAGTGGGCCTTCCACGTCATTAGATGTGCGGTTGGCTTCAACAGGTGACCCCCATGCCCAGGCTGGGTCACTGCATCCAGCAAGGAGAGTATCCAGTCTGGGCAGTCTCTGGGTGTTGGCCGTTATTTAACAGCCCCTCATTTGTCCCCAGCACACATCCTGTGTCTAATTACACCTTCCAGAAGGATCAGCTTCTGCAGCTATGAATGATGACCATTTCTTAAGCGACTAGGATGCCTGCCTTTCCTGCTTCCAACAAAACAAATTGCTCTTGATTATGTAGTCAAAAGGGAAACCATGTTACAATTATCCCTTGCTAGGAGTTTCCATCTCAGTGTCAAGAAGACAACAATCCTCATCAGTTGGTCGACAGGCAGCATCATGATAGATGGAGAAAGGATTGAAGTTGCCAACAGTTTCATCTTGCTTCTATAATCAGGATCCTTGGTGCCAGCAGTCAGGAGAAAAAAAAAAAGTTGCAATGGGAAAATTTGCTGCCAGAGACCTTTGTAATAATGTCAGTTTAAAGGCTAGGGTGCCCCTGACCAGGCCATGGGCTTTTATTTCGCTTGCTATACATCTGAGAGCTGGACAATGAACAAGAATGACAAAAAATCGATGCCTTTGAGTTGTGGTGTTGAAGAGACTGCTGAACATCCCACGGAAGGCCAAAGTGCTCCTTGAAGGCGAAGATGATAAAGCTTCGTCTCTCATACTTTGGGCACGTTGCTGGGAGAGGCTGTTCCTTTGAGAGGGACATCATGTTTGGAAAGGTGGAGGGACAGAGAAAGAGAGGAAGACCCTCAACAAAATGAACTGACACAGCGACTACAGCAGTGGGCTTAAGTAAGAGATGTTGAGGATGGCACAGGACAGGGAGAGGTTCCAAACCACTGTTCACAGGGCTGCTGTGAGTGGCCTAACAACAAGAAGAACATATGAAAAAGAAATCGCAGGTTAAAATGCTGTCTCTGGGCACCAAGAAATGTTGAAAATGGAGAGGGGGTGACTCTCTCCCCCACCCCGTGCCACATTCTCGATAAAGTCCTGCCTCTTGAATGGTTGGCTCAGCATACAGACTGAATACGTATGGAGAAAAGGTACATGCAATACTGAGGCACATCTTTGTTGGTTTTAAGCATGCTGTGTTCCCTTCCTCTGTTCGGACACTAGCATCTATGGTCTAGGTTTCTTGATCTGAACTGTCTCAGGAAAAAAGACTTCTAGACGCCACCTAAATAGGAAAAGAAGATGGAGAATCGGTGATCAGAGGGAGCCTAGCAGGAGTCCAGC